TATTGTCTGCTAATCCCACACAGTAATGCTCTTTAAAATACTAGCTGAATGCTGTTTCACTTGCATCCACAAAAGAGAGAAATTGGAACCCCCCTTTGTCTGAACATCTTCCTACGCTACTGATCTCCATTAGAAATATTCGAAGCTGGTGGAAAAAGGATTGCATCTGTCTCAGACACAGAGAGCAAACCTGGAAGCCATCCTCTGAAGAGAAAATAGAGCTAGCGTGCATGGGATTGGAGCTCAATGAAGTTATTTTTTGGAGTCGATGGTGATGTCGAGCATATTCACCTGTTCTGGATGAATGTGGGGGCATGCCCTTCTTTGTCTGGCTGAAAATTCCCATAAGATGGTAGAAATCCAAGATCCTGAAAGTGGCATGACTGTGGAGGACATACTCAACCAGACCAAACTCTTTCTGCGCCCACTTCAGAAAGACATAGCTAACGGAGGGGAAAGGAGCGGTATAATACTGTGCATTGCCTAGGGTATTGTTGGTACAACAGGAGTGAGACTAGTTTGGTGGCCGACAGTGATGTCAAAAATATGCCTAGTCTGTTTTTAAACGAAAGGAGAGGGAAACCAGGTTAGTAATATCTTTTGTATAATAGATACGTATTATGAATAAATGTGCTCATTTTTGTAGACTGGAGAAGACTGTTGATCCTCCTCCCAAACGGAAATGTTTGGATGTAACTACAACCAGCTACTAGCCCTTGCTCAAGTTCTGTTGCCCCTTCTCCTGAGACCCTCAGCCCGAACCTCCAAAAAAGATAATGTGAAAGTTCAACATATAGGTGAACATCCTGCTGTGCAGAATAGCTACAATGGTTATGTTAACATTATTTTTACACCTCTTTTATTAATCTGATCTCTGGTGATGACTCAGAGTGGACATCAGACCCAGCGAGCAGTACAGCTATGGACCCATCTCAAGAATTGCCTACTAGAGAACAATCTCGCAGATTTCCTCAGACACAAAGAAAGAGAAGATAGTTTGCGGGCAACCAGAGTGAGGAAAAATGATACAGTGCAATACATGCAGTGAATGGTTTTTCACAATTTGTGTATTACAACAAATAGCCTTGTGTAGAAAAAATTTAGATCCGTATGGTTTTCACAAAAATAACCACACGAGCAGCATTTACGGCGCAGAAATAAGGGGGCGGGGTATATAGATCGACGATCAATTGCTGGTTGATAGCAGCGAGCCAGTGTCTACTAGCTATAGCAGAGAGGGCTTATTGGCGAACAGGAGTGAGCCAACCTAGTCGTTCTTTCGAGCGGACGACCGCGTACGTCGTGTAAGTGCGCATGCGCGGCTTCGTTACGCGCTTCCGCTGCCTCGCGATATGCGCCGATCCATCTAGCCGGCCAGCGAGAGAACTCTCCTCCAGTCGACGGCATGCGCTGCAATCTTCGGTGACTGGCCGAGGCTATACCTCTTCCCAATCTTCATTCGAAGGTGCAACTTAGAAATATAGGATTGCTCGTGCAGATATACTGCTGCCAGCTGCCTGGTGCGACCACGACTGACGAGTTGAAACAAAGGTAAGTACCGTTCTGCTCACCTGCTCAGTCACCGTTCTGTAACGGCGACAGGTAGATATGTCTTGCTTCAAGAAAGGAAAACTGTGTGCTGACGGCACGTCAACATCGCCGGAAAATCCCATGTCGGGTCGCTCCCGCTCGCCAACAATATAGGCAACTTATTTGTACAAGTGGATCAATCATTTCTTCATAATCAAAAGGGGATATAGGGATGGCTTGAAGCACCAAAAAGGAAGAAACAAGGGGCATTACACAGCAAAGTTGCACAAAGCTACATGACACCGTCCCTATATCTTTGTTCGATATTAAACTTGCAATAAAACAAAGATATAGGGATGGTGTCATGCAACTTTGCTATGTAATGACCCCTTGTTTCTTCCTTTTTGGTGCTTCAAGCCATCCCTATATCCCCCATTCATTTTGAAGAAATGATTTTTACACTTGTTTCCACTATTTTTAACAGCTTATGACAACTTCTTGTTACAGTTACGCTGATGTTCATGGGTAGCTACGTATGTTGTAGAGTAAGCCACCGATAATCGGACGCCATGTATTCTCGGACGCATTTGTGAAGTCTGTGCAGGACTAGATTGGCTACTACTGTGTATACCAAAGTGTAGTTCTTGGTCATAAACTGTTGTATAAAAATATTCGCTCTTATCCGAGCTTTACCGTGGGAATGACGTTGCCGTAAAGTTACGATTCGGGCACAGCAAAAGTCCGACAAGGCCATCAAAGGTAGGACAGTCTCCCAAAATGGGAACAGTATGAATGATCCAAGCGAGTGTATGCTCGATTGATAGCTGTACCTTTTGGCTATGCAGCGACCCACAAATGGCCCTTTTTTGTCTTCGCTATTTTTGCTCACGAAAGCGCAAATAGGCGGGGTCGCGTAAGCCGCGTTTTACGCGAAAAGCAGTTTTCGGCTTGTTTCTTCTAACACACGCGCCGGATGAAGCTATAAAATTTTCTCCTCGTTCTTCTTGCCTTATATTAGATGCCTGCAGCACGATTTCCGTTTTTGTGAGATCTAACTTTTTATTGGTAAAATAATTATTGGTAATTACAAAATATTAAAATCTTACAACAACGGAAATCGGTGTGCAGGCATCTAATATAAGGCAAGAAGAACGAGGAGAAAATTTACCCCCGCGCGTGTGTTAGAAGAAACAAGCCGAAAACTGCTTTTCGCGTAAAACGCGGCTTACGCGACCCCGCCTATTTTCGCTTTCGTGAGCAAAAATAGCGAAGACAAAAAAGGGCCATTTGTGGGTCGCTGCGTAGCCAAAAGGTACAGCTATCAATCGAGCATACACTCGCTTGGATCATTCATACTGATCCCGTTTTGGCTTTAACTTTGCGCTTTCGTGAGCAAAAATAGCGAAGACAAAAAATGGCCATTTGTGGGTCGCTGCGTAGCCAAAAGGTACAGCTATCAATCGAGCATACACTCGCTTAGATCATTCATACTGATCCCGTTTTGGGAGACTGTCCTACCTTTGATGGCCTTGTCGGAACTTTGCTGTGCCCGAATCGTAACTTTACGGCAACGTCATTCCCACGGTAAAGCTCGGATAAGAGCGACTATTTTTATACAACAGTTTATGACCAAGAACTACACTTTGGTATACACAGTAGCCAATCTAGTCCTGCACATACTTCACAAATGCGTCCGAGAATACATGGCATCCGATTATCGGTGGCTTACTCTAGATATGACAAATTGTAACTGTTGAAAGTAGTAGCTAATGGGGCTACTAGTGCTTTTGAAGCAGGGGCTAGATACCGTATTCACCTCATGTTTTGTCTTCAACAAGGATGTAGATTATTGCACATGGTAGTGGTTTCATGGGCAGGCTTTGGTAATCAGGCTACAACCTGGGGGGGACAAACAATGAAGGTCCATTTGACTGAGCGCCCCGCAAGGCTCGCGTAACATAGCGCAGACTCTGGCAAGTTGCCCTTCGTGCAAATCAACAGCAAGCTAGCTAGTTGGAAAGGTGCACACTTATTACAGAAGGTACTGGAGGCTGAGAATTCCTCTGCTGGTCTGCCAACTCGCCTGGTAGAATACGGCATGGACAACGCCCCTGCCTGGCGCATGCACGCGGCTCACTGGTGCTGAGTTAGCAGCAAATGGCGTTCTTCAGTGTCGACCACGGAAGAGCTCCAAGATCTACCGTAGTGACTAGAAACGATCGCTTGATGTCCGTGCACACCTCCGGCGAAATTGGAGACCTTCAGTGAAAAAAATAGTGCTTGAACTGATACTGGTAAGGAGATAGCGGGTTAGAAGAAGATGATGACACGAAAATCGTGGAATCGCATATGGGCGAATTCTCTCGTGGACGACTGAAGGTGCGTATGAGGTCTTGGGGGACATGTATAGGTAGATATGAGCCCGTAGACTATTGCTAGTATGTTCCGGCCTAGGGAGTGATTCTCAACGAGTTTTTAGTACGCGGATCACGTGAGATTTCACCCGCGACTAGATATAGGTTAGACGCGGAAGCGAGGTGTCTACGCTACATTGCAACCCGAGGGGCTGTGGAATGTTGGCGTCCCGAGCGCAGCGAGGGCGCTACCCACATGCCCCGAGGGTTGCAATGTTGCGTAGACAACCGAGCTTCCGCGTCTAACCGGTTTAGACCGGAGTATCTGATTGGTGTTTGCGCGTTCAAATGGGTAGCAACAAGCTAGCAACGCTGCGCTCATTCTTACCTTCGGATGGAACAAGACGCTTTTTTTACGTGAGATTTTGTCCGACTCCGAGCAGACAGCCCCCGCCCCCCGTCAAAAATCGTTTACGTCATCATAAAACGCCCTCATTGGTGGTGCGCGTTTGAAAGGGCACGGCAACGGCCCAATGTGTTTGTGTATCGCCAGAGCTGAAGAAGCCGACGCTTTTTTCGTGGAATATTGACGTGATTTCTGACTTTCGCGAGCTCCGGAGACTTTCCACAGACGTCTTGCAGGTGCACTACGCATTTTAAAAGAGCTACTTTACCAGTCGCGCCTTCTACGCTTACCGAACGCGGAATCGGCCGGTTTGCGCAGATAACGACTTTTGAGAATAGCCATTTTGTACGGGGAGTTTGCTGGGATCAACTGTAATATACGGACCATAAGCGCAACGGCTTGCGTAAGCGCCAACCATTCACACCGCGTACCGACAACGCGGTCCGGTCCAGCAGCTGGCCCCAGTGACCCAACTTCTTCTTCTTCTTCTTCTTTGTAACCTCCACTGAAGGAGAGTAGCGATACGGCACCGTCAACCACTCTTTGAACTTCGTCGACCCCGCGACTGGTGTTCACACCCAGAACGTCGAGTACTGGAACCGTGTGAAGACGAAGTTCAAGAGAATGAAGGGGGTTCACGCAGACATGGTTACGTCCTATATGGACGAATTCATGTGGCGCGAGAGACACGGAGCGTGTGCGACGGTTGTCCTGACCAACCTCTGCCGAGATATAGCCCTCCGCTACCCCCAGTGACTTGGATGGTCCGTGGCATCCCCACAGTTGCAGCAGCTTCACTTTCTTTTTATTTTTTTCTCAACCAGCTTTTGTCAAAGATACCACTGCTCCAAAAGCATCCACTTAGCTAGCTAGCTAAACCACGTGTTTACAATGGGGGGCGGGGCTAGTAGGCGTCGTCGGTACGCGGTGTGAATGGTGGGCGCTTACGGAAGCCGTTGCGCTTATGGTCCGTATATTACAGTTGACCCGTTTGCTGTAGACCACCTGCAAACGCCATTAGACACCTGAAACGAAGTGTCTATGAAAAATAAACCCCCCGCAATTCTGTAATCTGATTGGTCAATTGCGCGTGACTGCGGTCTAATCTAGTTTATAGGGGACCTTCGGCGGAAGGGGGGGATGGATTTTTCTGCAGTATATATATACGGTCCGGGGGGACCAATTTTTCTTCCGCGGAAGTTCAGGTGGGACCGCCTTTGGGGGCCGGGGGGGATCAATCTTTGGGGGGATCAATCTTCGTGTGCGACAGATCTCGAAGGGGCGGGGGGCGCTCGTGGCGAACACGCGAAAGAGTGGGTGGGGCTCTCCTACAGTGAGGCGTTCGCGTTCGTAGCTCAGGGCAACCTCGCAGGCGAAATGAAGAACGAGTGCATTTTGATCTTAGTTGCAGCTAATGGTAGGTTTTAGCTTCCCTTTCTCTCCGCGTTGTCCGCGGAGAGAGAAGGCGCTGGAAACGAGGCTTAGACGATTTGCTAGCTTGCTTGCTTGTCTGTTTCTGCCCATAAAGTCATGCAGGTTAGCGGTGCAGTTTTATCATCCGGGTCTGGCATGAACAAGCCTTTGAGGTAAGTAGGCTTGACTAGTTAGATATCTTGATCAGTTTTGATGCACACAGCTGCACTCGACTAGTCTCTGACCACCCATGTCTCAATTTGCAAGCCAGAGGGTCAAACTACTCCCTCCCACAGTCTCCTTCTGTCAATGCTGATATCGATGACTTTGTTGTTCGACTCGGCTTTAGCATTGTGGAATCTATGAGAGGCACATTACCCGATCCATGCCTGGATTTCATTGAGCATTATCTCTGTATTCTTGGAGCTCCTCCTTGTGATCCAGAGTTAGGAGCCCCACTGCTAATTTGTAATGTTGATTGTGAGGCATACAGTAGGCTCCATGGAAAGCACACATGTGACAGTACTTTGGAGTTTATCCATGAGTTTGCTGAAAACACAAGAAATGACGTTCATGTCATCGAGCTCTTCGATAAGTTTGACTGCAAAAATGTTTCTACATACTACTTCTCTGAAGAAAGCTCCTATTCAGATACATGCACTGGAATCTTGTCTGAGAAATCAAAAGGTTAGGATGTTGGTAATTGTTCATGAAAATAATTCTTGTTACTGTCAACCTCACTTTAGAACAGATTATCAATGGGACAAGGTAAGTATTAGCTAAAGTGTCTGTACAAGTGAGATAGCTAACTATACCGAAGTTGTAAGTCTGTATGAATTATATTTCAGAAGGCTCCGTCTCACATAACAATGTGTTGACCATAGTTCACAATATGCTCGACGTCACCTTCTTCATATAATCCGGAATAGCTGGCAACCACTACGTTGGCTGAGCCATTCTCTAAATAGTTGCCAGAAAGTTGATACAGTTAGCACCTACTCAGTTTCCTTTGTAGTACTCTTATTCGTGGTCAGCTTCAACACTAATCAGTTAATTATTCATTGAGTACAGCTAATTGATTTGTCTTGCACCCTTGCAGTGAACTTCAGTGCATTCCGGTTACTATTTCGGCTTGTGCTGCCATCTTTCGTCAGCCATACTACATACCGGTGGCTGAGCGCGACGAGAGTGAGACATTTGCCATCGTCACCTCTATTAGCGATCAGCTTGACCATTTCTGTGGTAGTGTGCTAACTAACTTTGCTTGCCACTTTATTACTCCTCCTTGTCATCCTCAGAAAGGTTTGTAGTGCAGAGGAAATTTAGGTTGAAGATCTAGTTCAAATTTCTTTTGTTCAGGGACTCAGTTAGCAGTTTGTCCTGAGAGCTGCTATGCCCTGGATGTCATCAATGATCAGTGCCGTCTGCAGCTTGATGCAATAAAGCAAAGCAACCATTCCAGTCCCTTCGTTAACTTTTTGAATCACTTCAACTGCACATCACCAGACAGCTATCTTATTCCTAATTTTCCACTTGATATGGAGAACTGTCTGAATACAGTGGATTATTGTGAGTATATAGAGCACTACAAAGCTACCTTACAGTGCGCAGATTCAATAATATTTTAATATACACCACCCACAAAATTACTAACACAGTAGGTGTTTTGGTGTATTGTGCATTCTTTTTCTGTTCATACAGTTGATATTGCTACTGGTTCCTTACCATCCACTTCTAGTGGTGTGTCTTTTTGTTTCCGTACTCAACTGAAATGATCTTACATAAAACTTCACTTGTCTTAAGGCCTGGTTGAGGGTCTTTCAGCATATTTTTCTGCTGTCTGCCTGGTGCTGATAACTACTCTGATGGTAACTACAATTGTGTGTGTTTACAACAAGACAAAGGTCAAAAGGTACTATCGAAAGTGGACACTCTCCTCTAACAATAGGTATGCTGTTAGTAAACTGAGAATTGTTCCTATATGCATGATTGATCCTGTAATAGAAGTTGTCTTGTTTGTTTGTTGTCATTGCCTTTGCCTTGCTACCTCAATATTGACGTATGCATTTGCTACTTTTTTCCTCAAGGCCGAAATTTGGAAGGAATCATGTTGAGCTAAAAGTTTCAAGTAAAGAGAGTGAAAGTAGTATTGTGCTCTCTAGTGGTTAGTACCATTGTTATATCTTTCGGCTAATGATGGTCTATTGTTGGTAACTCTACAGTTTCACTGGCCGATGAGAGTGGCAAGAACGAAGATGTGAAGTTATCTGACACTGATATAGCGAAATTTAAAAGGCTGTTTTGTCAGTTTGTTATACCCTACTCTTGTCTTCAGTTTAAACACAGCCTTGGAGAAGGTACATACATGTATGTAGCATAAGGCTATCCCCAAAGAATTATGGCATACATGTATGTATGGTTATATACTTCGTGTAAGCATCTCTGATGAAATTCTTCCTAAAGGCATAACCGTGGTTCTTTTGGTTCTTTTAAACACTGCCTTTCAAATGGGATGGAATACCAGATCATCACTAATTGAGTTCGGAAAATGTACTCAGTTCTTTTTCAAAATCAGTCACCTGTGTATTAATCCTCCGATTATTACACAGGTGCATTTGGTAAAGTGTTTGCTGGTGTTTTAAATGACCATGGCAGGGAGATGACTGGTGTCCAGGTTGCCATCAAGACCATCAAAAGTAAACGATTTGCAATGTTCACGTGTTGCAGCATTTTAGACACAAAGTATTAGGCAGGGATACGAGAAGAGTTTTTATGTGTGGTTAGAAAAGAACTTACCTGCCATTCTTAGATATGCAATCCAACGAGCAGTTAGATTCATTTATGGCCGAGAGCTTGATCATGAAGGACTTCCAACATTCACATGTTCTGAGTTTGCTCGGAGTGTGTCTTGATGCCCCAGATGCCCCTCCATACATTGTTCTGCCTTTTATGGCTAATGGATCTGTTAAGGAGTACCTGAAACAAAAGAGAACTCATATTTTGGATGTTGCGTCACTCCCAAAGGTATAGTTTAGAAAGGTTTTGTTTCATCTCTATAGTTGAAATTTAGCCCATTTAGGACTTATCGTTAGAGGTGTTGATTCAGATCTGTACAGACATTGCTGAAGGAATGAAATACTTGGCAGCTAAAACGTTTGTTCACAGAGACCTTGCTGCACGAAACTGCATGTAAGTGTTTAACGTGAGTAAATTCACAATTTTGATGTATACATAACCCCATAAGCAGCCTACAGAAATAACTCACAATTTACAAGCGTCGGAAACTTAAATCTATGAAGGCAACATCTCCTCTTTATCATAAGTCCATAAACTTACAGGTTGGATGATCACCTTATTGTGAAAGTAGGAGACTTCGGCCTTGCTCGAGATGTGTACTCTGCAGACTATTACAGAGCTGGAAAAGGTGCCCGACTGCCAGTGAAGTGGATGCCACCAGAGACTCTCACTGATGGAATCAGTAATGAGAAGTCTGATGTGGTAAAGTTTTAGAGATAGAGAATGATTGTCAGATCCAGGTCTAGGTTGCTTATTCTCCAATACTGATCGTAGACTCAGTAGATGGCGAAGACTGGCATTTTACAGAGTGACAGATGGTGCATGCAAGGCTGTGTGACCTGACCATTACAACTGAAGGCTACAATCACTAATTCCACAAGCATTCACAGACTAACTGACAATTTTAACACCAGTACTACTGAACAAACATCACGGTTACATTGTGTAGCATGTACCAACACCAAGGTGAGGTAGAAAGGCAGGCAAAGGAAAAAAGGTCAACTACACCCAGGGGAAGTCCAAGGGAAAAGAAGAGCGACCCTAGGTGGGATTTGAACCCACGACACTCTGCTGTCTAGAGGAACACACTACCATCTGAGCTACCAGGACAACTGAGGGTTCACACAACACAAGACAAACACAACCTCAAACCAACCACCGTCACTCAGTAGCAATGTAGGAGCAGACTGGGGTAATCAAAACACCAAAGACGCCCAACTCCAAACTGAGTAGCTATGCATGCATGCCTCAAGGAGCTCTCACCCATCACAATGATGCATTCAGAATCTTTATTTCGTGCAGTGGTCATATGGAGTGACATGTTGGGAGGTTTTTAGTTTGGGACGCAGTCCCTACCCTGGGATTGAGAATCACGAGATACTCCAGCATATCTCTACTGGAGATACACTCAAGAAACCCACTCTCTGTTCTGACATACTGTAAGAGTAGCTAATGGTCAAATGTAAGTTCTAAAAACACATTTTTGGGGTTATCCATTTCAGGTTTGATATTCTGTGTCGTTGTTAGAGTTATTTACCAGAGGATCGACCATCATTTGACTCACTACTATCTTCCCTTAAAGACTATTGGGATAATGAACATTATTATGTGTGACAATAATATAATTATAATTGCTGATCATTAGACACCCCTCAATTATTATTCCTTAACTCCAATTTTAATCTCCATGTGTGCTACCGATACCAGTTAGTGGAGAAGTAATTTTGAAGAACAGTGCCAAAGCAATGTTGTGTGGACAATAATGAAGAGGGGATCGAGTAATGGTAAAACAGGTGACTTAGCATAGTACAGACTCAAAGAGAAGAGTAGCGGTAGAAATGAAAAGCACTAAAATGCAAACCCTCGGCGAACTGCGCATGCGCGGTACCACTAATGGGCTTTTCTTTTGTTTACTCGTTGTATCCCGCTAGTAGCACACGGAGAGTCTGGCACGGGCTAGCTACAGTAGTAGATTTCATGCGGGAGTTGATACATGCCCTTCGTTGTGACTTGTTGTGCCTTCAAGAGGCACAGAGCGCGGACGTTCACTTGGTTTTCACACCATAACTTTAAAACGCAGTAGTTTTACGAAAATCGCCTTTTTAAAAATCAACCCAGTGTAGCACTGAACCCGATCATATCGCTATTTACCTGATTTCGTGCGCGCGGTGGTAACAGACAGACAGGCTGACAGACTGACAGACTGAGAGAGACTGACAGACACACTTACCGTAACCCTCGCTACGCATGCGCGCCGAGGGTTAATAAACAGCTCATGCGGGCCGAGGGTAAATAATAGGTTAGTGCACCCTATAGGGATACCTATGCACTGGTGAATATTACCCACTAAGACTTATATTGTTAATGTCACCCTTGTTTTCATCACTCCACTTCCCTCTATTATTAAAAGATAGATAGCTACTCCTCTAACACGAAATGCTTTCTCCATAATGCCTTCAATTTTCTAGTGGGATAGCAGTATTTTTGCTTTAAACGTGGACCCTTCACATGGACTACATCGGTCATCCCTGTCTTGTCTCCTTGCTTTGTAACTCATTTTACTTGTGTGCCTTCTGCTTTTGCTAAGTTTCCCAAGAGCCTATTCTCCCCAGCATTTTTTTACCACAACACGTAATAGCTGGTGGTAGCTAATACAAAGTGCACCTAATAGTAACTACATTATAAGAAGAGTGTGACATATTTTATACTCTATGTAAGTCCAATGATGTGACAGCTTTTGAAGGTAGGTTGCGAACTGTTCTGAGGATGAATGATGATTTTAGACAATCAGTGCGAGCAAAAGGCATTTTGGGGTGGTGTTTGTCAAGAGTGAGCTAATGAGAATATCAGGAAAACACTAAGAGATGGGATGTGGTAAATATCCAGTAAGTTATTATACTAGAAGAATGTACCTCATTGTGGTGAGCGATGCGAGCATTTCAATATTTCCTATGTTTTAGCGCTTATTTAGAATCACGTAAGCATTACGGTATGTTGGTCCGTGGGTCCGTTCACCATTACTATATAAATTCCGCATACGCCATACACCTAGGTTGGCTCGCTTTGCTCGCCAATGATGCTTGGTACTGACATCCTCAATCGCCGTGATGTATATACTTCAGTAGGTGTGGGTCCCATACTTGAGACACATCCAAACGCAAGCGATAGGTATAGAGTAGAGATAATTAACAGCGAAAAGCATTTGAGGATTATTGATGTGAGAGGCCCAGTGGAGATTAGAGGAAACGAGTGACAAAATCTAGATTCTCACAGTTCAGAATCAAGGTAGGGCAGTGAGGGGTTTACATTTCAGTGCAGTCAGCAACATGCACTTGCACTTTGCAACATTGAAGTGCATGAGACTGACCTAGAGATGCTATAAATGTCTTGCTGTAAGTCGTGGTAACAAGAGTTGTCAACTATGGGCTTGCAGTCATCAGCATACAGGGATTTTTTGTTCCTTCTCTGTAGTGAGCGCAGGCCATAACGGCCTTTTCCTTTGCCAAATGAGACTCCTAAAAGCGTGGAGACTTGACTAGCCGATGCTGGGTTGGGCTGGATCCAACGATATGGTGACATGATTGATTGGCTATGGAAAGCCAACATAGGTCATCTAGTCTCCAGCTCCGCGGGACACCTGGTAGGTGTAGTTTGCAGCATCTGAAGAGTGAGCCTGTTTGAGTGATCGAAACTTACGCATGCGCACACGCCCGCTTACGCTTACTGCCAACTGCCAAACCCATAATAGCGTGCGCAAAAGGGGAAAACCCGGGGTTTCTCCGGGCTAGCGAAGTTGCGCAGCGGTGTTAAAAAGCGGCTTCGGGCATCTATCTGTCGTGTCAGTGTATTTAGCATGTGGACTATACACCTAAAGAGCGTGAAGGGAGAAAGGCTAAGCGTGCAACTAGTAAAGGGATCTGTAAGTGCAACTCAGCTAGTCTCGGTGCAGGATAAGCACTGTTTTCTTCTCAGGCGACAAGTGTTCGTGAATTGAAGGAGCAGGTCCACTGCAAGGAATCAACTCTACCTCCATACCTCCAGAGAATATCTTTCCAAGGACCAGGTAGCTCATAAGACTTTGGAAATGGTGTCTGTGGGGGAGACCGATCAAGTTTACACACAATCTTTAGCTAATAGGCATTTAATTATTAAGCATTAAGCAAAAAAATTATGCGATTGCCCTATCTAATTGTGAGAGCATCCAGTGACTGTCTCAGCTGGATAATGCTGTTCCAAGTATGCTAAACCGTGTGTTATTATAACCATATCTAATATAGATGGTAACAGTATCTTAAAAGAGGAAGACAGTCTTCTCTCCTCCTACAATGGATTAAAGGACAATGCTGTTTTACTACTACTCATTCTTACACCATTTGTGGTCTATGTTCAAGGAGCCGATGGGTGCAAACACACTGTAACTGTCCGGTCTGCGGAGCCTGATGTAAGGCATAATACCACTTGTCCACCATCATTTGACTTTCACTATAATTATCCTGCGATGCTTTTATGCAGAATTACCCTTTGTCAAGTCTGATGCAAGATGTCGAGAGAATTACTGGCTGCAGCCTTACCACCCATCACGTCCTTTTTCAGGATAAGCCTCTGCAACCCACTAGACATGGCAAAGCCCTCATACTCCGGGACTGCAGGATCAGGAAAGAGGAGACACTCTTTATTCAAAGGATGGGATTTACCCTTAACATCACTAACCCCCAGGTATTCTAAGAAGGTGCACTGTCATCTTTCTTGGAAGCTTATATTTCCCCAGGCTGTGAATAATTACATAGCAGGTTTTGTAAATCAAAAGTCTTGCTATGACAAGCTTTAACCAATTGACTAAAGTGAAAAACTGTCCATGCACAAGAAACGCGAAACCATACGCATGCAGTGTCGCTAATTGTTGGGCTGGGCTATGCCAAGTCGTTTCTCCCGCTGCAAGCTTTAACCAATCGATAGAATTCTCCAGCATGTAGCCTCTTTAAATATCAGCAAATAATTATATTGCGGCATTGTGGGGGCGCTACCCCCGGGGCACGAGGCTTTCCACCAGCGCTGGAATCAGCGTCTAACTACGAGTGAGCGCGCCACGTTGAGCGCTCTGGCTTTTCCGTTGGTTGGTATGGTGGATCGCTTCTAACGATGACTCGACGGAGACAGGCCCAGAGCGCCAGAAAAATGCAGTGCAAGAAGAGCAAAGCGGTAGAGACACGCGGTAGTGACTCCGCCTTCTTTCTGGTCGCGCGCGTGATCGTTGCGCACAACGCGACTACCACGTGCCGCAACTCAAGCCATGATGTCCTCACATCACCTTGAGTTCCTGCACAAATGCGAAGAAGCCTCGCACATTCCACCAGGTTTAAGAACAGGGGGTCTGCGCGTGCGCATGGATGAACCCTCGGCGCGCATGCGCAGCGAGGGTTAAGTACTTGGTCTGTTGGTCTCTGTCTAGCTTTGTCCGTCTGTCTCGCACTATATACAGGCTATGAGGCTACCAACGTCTTCAGAACTAGATACGCAAACCTAAAAAGAAATGGGCGATATCCTGAAAGGACTGCGTTTGAGAAATATGCCGCGAAAAAGCCAACATGCATAATCGCACTGGGCTCGCTCTGTGTACCTTGGAGGCTCAAGAAGTCACAACTAATGCTGTGTAGCGACTCCCAAATGCTATCTACCAGTGTAGCTAGCCTGTGTCAGACTCTGCGTGCTGTAAACGCATACTATATAGCTCAGCCATCAATTAACAGTACAGCTCATGCGCAGTGAGCCGATGGTTTGCACTTCATTTTATATGTACGAATCTTACTGTAGTTTCTGTAGCTTCTGTAGGTTTACTACATTTAGTAAACACCGTCAACGTTTACTACGGGATGTAGTTAACCTCTGCTTTCCAATCTGATTGGTCAATTTGAACCTAGCTCACTCTAAGATGAGAAAGCTGAGATAATTCACCTCCAACCGAGGCACGGACAGCTCATTGGTGAAAGTACATGTACCATCCATATCAGAAGCTAGCATTTGTTGTTACATGGAGATGGAAAACAGAGACACTAAATCACAGAAAGCTAGCACAATGCACGGAGCAGTAGCTGATGAGCTATTGATGCCTGAAGCAAAATGAATGGGCAGTACACTGAGAGAGGCATTGCCACATAACTAATGCACAGACTACGACCTACATGGTGTATAGCCCGGCAGAGGTCAACAAAAGTTAATTACAAGTTGTTCACAGTAAACCTCTCTACGATGCACATCAGTTTCACAATTTGTCGCATTGCCCCGTTGCGCCGTGCGAAGTTGCTGTGTCCTGAGGATAGAATCCATTTCAAACTTCATGGCATGACGCAACAATGCATGGCGCAACAGGGCAATGCAAAGTATTGTGAACCCAGCCTGATCTCAATAAGTAGCTATAGAATGAAATGGTAGATTCAAGTGTAATAATTTACATGGCTCAAAACCAAAAAGGAATGGAATAAAAGCACTAAACTGCAAACAGTCAGCGCGCTGCACTAGAAACGTCGACATGCGCGGTGTTTGCTCTTGCCATTATCTCCTGCTAGTAGCTTGCAAAGAGTTTTACATGGGCTAGCTACACATGCGGTACCCAATACACACTTTCCGTTGTGACTTCTTGTGCCTCCAGAGCAAGCGGATCAGGTTGAGGTATATAAGCCAGTGTGATTATGCACATCGCCTATTTTCACGGCATGTCTCTTGCCTTTTTAGTTGTCACACACTGGTGGTTCGGTAGCTGTTGGCATCACTTATAGGCCGCCTCATAGCCTAGCTATAGTTCCGGAATAAGTATATAGACTGAAAGAGAGACCAAGAACTGTAAACCTCACTGTGCACGCATGCTGAGGGTTAATGAAAACAATCTTTACAGTATTGGACGCTACACATACTGTTTTCTACAACATTTCACATTGTAATGAGTTGCATTCGTGTGTATAATTACTATGTGGCCAGCATGACAATGGGGGAAGATAAGCTGTCAAAAATTGTTGATCTGGGTAAAAGTAACCTTTAATTTTCAACTTCTCCTATAGGTAGATCTCTGCTTCTTAGTAGACTGTACTGGATCAATGGGTAGCTACATTGAAGCGGTCAAGAACAATGTCAAGCAGTTGAGGGATGACTTGGTGGAGCAATACAAAGGTTGTGATATCCGATTTGCTTTTGTCAGATATACTGACTATGATGTGGCCAGCAACAGAACCACTTTTATTAATTTCACGAAGTAAGTAGTAAGTACCTATCATATGCATAATTATTATATAGAATATTCATTTCCCTGATTTGGTGTCTCCAAAATGCCCAGCCACAAGCATCCATAGCTGAATACAAAGTCGTACAAAGGCGCAGACTTGTAGATCTAAACCTAGTCGTCGCAACGGGCTTATTTTTCTATTTATTTATTGGCGAGCGGGAGCGAGCTAACCTAGTGGTCCAAACGGCGTGATTTTTTTATACGACCGACCGTACGTCATGTAAGTGCGCATGCACGGCTTTGTTACACGCTTCTTTTATCCGAAATCATTTCCAATTTCTTTCACATGTGCTACCTGCGCATGCGTCAGATAAGGCGCTTCTACGCGCTGCTATGATGGCTCGTGCAGATACAGTCATTGTTTGCTCGCTCCTGCTCGCCAAAAATGCCATGCATTCGCCTACTTTTTATAATATACGTCCGTAAGTGTGCATGCGCGGCTTCGTTATGCGCTTCTTTTTATCCGAAATCTTTCACACATTTTCACACGCTGCCTCGTGATATGCGCCGATCTAACCAACGAGAGAACTCTCCTCAATTTGACGGCATTTGCTGTACCTCTTCCCAATGAAGCATGGAGTAATGCCTATGGAGCACTTTCCACACAAGTGTGTCCTTGAGACAACCTTGAGTGAACTACCTGTCGAAAACGCTTGTTTATAGGCTTCCTTCTTCCCATTTTTCGGAACACTAAATGCACATGGACTAAAAAGCGTTTTCTATACAGCACGTTACTGGGTGACTCCAGTCGTGGTGGCAGAGGGATAATTGAACGTTCTGCACTGGAAAGTAGCTAATATCATAAGTTTCTAGAGGGTATATACCTGCGACACAGCAATCATCTTGAGAGCAGGCAAATCAACATGACATTATCCCTATATCTATTGACTAATAGGGAAGTACGATTGGACAAAGATATAGGGATAGTGTCATGTTGATATGTGTGTCTTAGCTGTGAAATGACCCCTTCTTCTTTCCTTTGAACCATCCCTATACATATCCCCCTTCATTTTGAAAAGAATAAGATTTTTTTCCATTGACACACTGTCTGACAGATACTACGCATGCATACAGAACTAAAAATACTATGCATGCCCCTACAGTCTGTTAGTGTTGCATCAGATTATAGTTTTGTGTCGGAGATGTTGAATTCGATTTGGTTGAGTTTCCATTAGCTACAGTAGTTGGTCCCTGGTGTAACATGGGGTTCTGCTGAACTCTGGTCAATGGCAGGTTGTGGCATGGCAGGTAGAGGTAACCCTCCTGTAGCAGTCAATGGTGGTTCTCCAGCTGTACGTGTCATCAGTAAGAGTATGTCGTTTCAAGATCAGATCTTTGATGTGGACTCTGTATGTTACAGGTAGTGCCATCTCTAAGATCAGTTCCAGGCACTTGGGCCGTTTCCAGCTAGCGTATTTCCTTTATAGAACTCTCGATCATTGCTGTGCATGTTGTGACGCTGTTTCTGGTAAACCTGTTTCTCCACTACCCCACCTCTGAGTTAGAGTCACAGCAGGTCCAACCTTGTCTTCGATGCATACCTCATGGACAATTCTGCAGGGTAGCACCTCTCTGTATTGCTAGTCAAACTGAAACAAATTCCTTTTTTCGTTAAGTGTTCCCATATCATTCTTACTCGCTTTGAGAGCATTTTGAATGTCTGAAATCTCTTGGCCATCCCATTGGAAAAATTAACTGTGCGATTGTCCTTAACTCCATTTCTCTTGTTGAAAATGTTTAAAAAGTTAAACTGTGGACTCCGGGCAGTCTATGACATGAGATTCTCTTCCACATCTAACACCTCTATGACATGAGATTCCCTTACACATCTAACATATCTAAGACATGAGATTCCCTCACACTTCTTAATACCTTTAAGGTCTTCTCAGTAGTTGTTGAAGCCACAGGTATAACTTATAACCATTTGGATTACAGTATCAAGGAGAGCCATCAACAGCGATCTTGCCACAAAATTGACATGGACTCTCTTCCATGACCATGAGGCCGTGACCAAGGATGGAGATAAGTTGGATGGTATGTTTCTAATGCTCAAGCAGACCACGCCGGGCTATGTCCTTCTTCACATGGATGCTAGCAAGTTATCCAATGCTGGGAAAATGTCTTGAACTCTGAGTCCAACCTTTGATGGCAAACCTTGCTATATAGTCAGGACACGAGAGAGCAGCTAACAATGTCAAGTTTAACACAGATGAAGGGGCTGCGTCCTATTTTGTCTGGGTCAGAGGTATATACCAGCAGTAGTACATAGCATGCGGGAGTCGATACACGCCCTTCGTTGTGACTTCTTGTGCCTCCAAGGTACACAGAGCAAGCAGACCCGGTCGAGGTAAGCCTGTGCTAATTTGCATATTGGCTTGTTCACTTGGTTTTCATGCCATAACTTCTGAACGCGGCACATTTACAAAAATCGCCATTTTAAAAATGAAGCTGGTGTAGCGCTGAACCTGTTGGTGTCGCTATTTTACCTGTTTGTTGCGCGTGCGTGGTGGCAGACGGACGGACAGACGGACGTTAACGGACAGACCAATTATACTGGTAACCCTCGTTGCGCATGCGCGCGCCGAGGGTTCAAGGAGAGCAAGCTAACCAATGTTGAACATTGTTGGCGACTCGAGCGGGAGCGACCCAACTTGGGATTTGTCCGCGATGTTCGGGCTGCATAACGTGCCGTCAGCGCACAGCTTTCCTTTCATGAAAGCAAGACAGAGCTACCTGTCGCCGTTACATGCGTACTGTATAATTATTGCCAGAACGGTGAGCAGGTGAGCAGAACGGTCCTTACCTTACGGTGGCAGTGCCACTGAGAAGTTGCTCGGTCAGGGAGAAACTACTCTGACGAATAAAGCTAGACCGTGGTGTGGACTACAGCCAACCTGCTAACCACTGAGGAGTACGGCTACTCTGTAGGTAGAGCGTCAGCTGAGCAACCACTTATCTCGAGTGGTTGCGGTTACACCAAATAAACTTGAGGCTTTGAAGACGCGAGAGTAAGAGACGGAGCTGATTTCCGGCAGCTGCAGCAGAGCTAGCTTGTGCATGAAACGGAATATGGAGGATGGCTCGAACTCGACTTCGACCTCGACCTCTGGCATGTCGGCCTTTACGCCGGCTCCTGACCACCTACATCCCAGCTATCTCTACCTTTGTCGCTGACATCGATCCTTCTTCATTCAAGCCTCCGCCTCGGACCGAGAGAAGGACCAGGAGGTCGCTTACCTCCCACTCCGTCTTTGGCTCCCTCCCTTAGCTCTCTCCCAGTGGGCCAGCCTAACGCCCCCAAGGGTGTGGGGGTGGCTTGCCAAAGGTCTGCGGGCCGGTTTGCTGTCGGTGTAATAGTAAAGGAAAGTGTATTAACTGTGTCTTGCGTGAAGCAAGGCAGGGTGTGCTCTAATTGTCTCCCAGCTAGGACTCGTGCCTGTCAAAATCTTGGCACCATACCTGCAGGTTCCCAACCCTCAACCTCCAGCCACCACTCTCGTTCCTGCCCCTCAACCGCTTGCAGTTCCTTCGCCCGATTATCCACCCTTAGCTCCCACTTCCATCCTCCCGGCTATCTCTCCACCACGGGTGGATGACTCCACAACTCCTACTCCTCCTGACTCCTCCCCTCCTCTGCAACGTCTTCCTTCGTGGAACTCTATCGTTGCTCTTCACTCCAACACTTTGCAGCATGTCCCAAAGGGGGCTCGCAATGCTTGGGCTGATTTAATTTCCAACATTTTTCAGCGATCAATGCTAACCCATCGAATCCCGACAATTGGCTCAAGCTCTTCCTCCTGCCAAGATGTGTTTTAGCTAACCCCCGGAATGGAGACAGACTGGGCTGGAGAGCGCTACAAGAGATCGTGCGACAACGCATCAGAAAATGGCAACGAGGTGAAATCCTCGATCTCTGGGAGGAAGCTGTTGCCTCGGCAAATATCAAACTTCACCCTGGACCCAGAGGTAAAGCAAGGGGAGGGGGGAAGAAGCCTAAAGCCCTCCAAGAAATCAACGTTAAACGGGCTAAGCTGGCCGTTCAAGCCGGTCAATATAGGAAGAGCATCCAGGCTTTGACCCCCGAGGGGCTCGCTCCGGCCACTGAGTCCGCCTTGGAAGAAATGATAGCCAAACACCCTCGATCCCCTCAGCCTCCTCTTCCACTACTCCCGCCCCCCTCTTCACTTCTGGTAATGCCC